ATAGGGGGTCGTATGATTGTTTTTGTTTTTCTCTGTATCCATGAAGTGCCTTGAGGTGACTTTTGTTGTGATTTGGCGCTATATAAATAAAATTGAATTGAATTGAATTGAACAAATGCCTCTCTTCCACCCCAGTGTAGAGCTTATGATATATCTGTAATATATATAAATATCAAAACAGTGATGTGGTTTCCCTAAACAGCCACTAAAACAAATATGAGGAGAAGTATACTCAAAAAGAACTAAACAGATAATCACTCTTAATATTGAACGTTTTAAGTTTGTTTCCACATTCCGTGACTCGGCCACTATATTACACCATCCCCTGATCCTGTACTTGATAAGACTAGTTTGAATTTCAAATGTGATGGGAAATGCCAGTTCAAACTTCTCGCTTCCATCACAGTCTAATTTTACTGTTGCCACAGCAACCATGCTTTATGTAAAGTACAAAACAGAAACTTTTGTTGTTCTATGTTTTTAAAAAAAGTGTTTACATAATACACATTCACAACACTCTGGACAGTTTTCTACCAAGGAAACATTTAAATTATTTTTAAATATATTCCTTCACCCTTCTTAATCCTCGTATATACCTCTTAATGTTTTCCTTTACATTGCCACGAATCACAAACAAAGACTTATGTGAAACTGCGAATCGCTCACTGATGGTCAATTAAAAATAAAGTAAGTGTGAGGCTTTACTTACCAAAGCTTGAAGCTACAGACATCTTTTATCCTGTCTGCACCATGAAATCAGTAGTGACAGTCACAGTGTAAGAGCAGCAAGCTTTTGTCAGATTCTGATGTTTGTAATTGTCTGACATTCACTACTTCTGTAGATTTGTAAAATCCTGTTTATGCAATAAACTAATTGCATGTTTTGTTTTATTTTTCTGGATAATCCAGTGATTCTGACCTCTGTAGATTTTGTTTTGAAGCTTTTAATGTTGTCAGCCTGAAAAAAAAATATGGCACTGATGAAGCAGATACCAACTGATAGACTGCATTTTGTTGGTTGGTTGCAAAACTGGCTCTGTTATCTAAAAGGCAATACCAGTGGACACACATGCCTCGCTTTCATCTCAGTGTGGAGTCTATGCAATCTTGCTGAGTGGGAACCCCCACATTTGTGACTCACTAATGGTGTTTTGGTGATCAATGCCCCACTACAACAGTGACGTATGGAAGCTTTGTATTACAAAAATTCAACAAAAAACAAATCTATCAATAAATAAAATTCAGTTTTGAGGATGTTCATACGACTCATTTAAAAAAATCTAGAACAGTGAAGTTTGTGAGATTATCAACAGGTTTATTTACTTTATCAGTCTAACCACTCCCCAGATACAGTGGGGCAAAAAAGTATTTAGTCAGCCACCGATTGTGCAAGTTCCCCCACTTAAAATGATGACAGAGGTCAGTAATTTGCACCAGAGGTACACTTCAACTGTGAGAGACAGAATGTGAAAAAAAAATCCATGAATTCACATGGTAGGATTTGTAAAGAATTTATTCGTAAATCAGGGTGGAAAATAAGTATTTGGTCACCTCAAACAAGGAAAATCCCTGGCTCTCACAGACCTGTAACGTCTTCTGTAAGAAGCTTTTCTGTCCCCCACTCGTTACCTGTATGAATGGCACCTGTTTGACCTCATCATCTGTATAAAAGACACCTGTCCACAGCCTCAACCAGTCAGACTCCAAACTCCGCCATGGCCAAGACCAAAGAGCTTTCGAAGAACACCAGGAAAAGAATTGTAGACCTGCACCAGACTGGGAAGAGTGAATCTACAATAGGCAAGCAGCTTGGTGTGAAAAAATCAACTGTGGGAGCAATCATCAGAAAATGGAAGACATACAAGACCACTGATAATCTCCCTCGATCTGGGGCTCCACGCAAGATCTCATCCCGTGGGGTCAAAATGATCATGAGAACGGTGAGCAAAGATCCCAGAACCACACGGGGGGACCTGGTGAATGACCTGCAGAGAGCTGGGACCAAAGTAACAAAGGTCACCATCAGTAACACACTACAACGGCAGGGAATCAAATCCCGCAGTGCCAGACGTGTTCCGCTGCTGAAGCCAGTGCATGTCCAGGCCCGTCTGAAGTTTGCCAGAGAGCACATGGATGATACAGCAGAGGATTGGGAGAATGTCATGTGGTCAGATGAAACCAAAGTAGAACTTTTTGGTATAAACTCAACTCGTCGTGTTTGGAGGAAGAAGAATACTGAGTTGTATCCCAAGAACACCATACCTACTGTGAAGCATGGGGGTGGAAACATCATGCTATGGGGCTGTTTTTCTGCCAAGGGGACAGGACGACTGATCCGTGTTAAGGACAGAATGAATGGGGCCAAGTATCGTGAGATTTTGAGCCAAAACCTCCTTCCATCAGTGAGAACTTTGAAGATGAAACGAGGCTGGGTCTTCCAACATGACAATGATCCAAAACACACCGCCCGGGCAACAAAGGAGTGGCTCCGTAAGAAGCATTTGAAAGTCCTGGAGTGGCCTAGCCAGTCTCCAGACCTCAACCCCATAGAAAATCTGTGGCGGGAGTTGAAAGTCTGTGTTGCTCGGCGACAGCCCCAAAACATCACTGCTCTTGAGAAGATCTGCATGGAGGAATGGGCCAAAATACCAGCTACTGTGTGTGCAAACCTGGTAAAGACCTATAGTAAACGTTTGACCTCTGTTATTGCCAACAAAGGTTATGTTACAAAGTATTGAGTTGTATTTTTGTTATTGACCAAATACTTATTTTCCACCCTGATTTACGAATAAATTCTTTACAAATCCTACCATGTGAATTCATGGATTTTTTTTTCACATTCTGTCTCTCACAGTTGAAGTGTACCTCTGGTGCAAATTACTGACCTCTGTCATCATTTTAAGTGGGGGAACTTGCACAATTGGTGGCTGACTAAATACTTTTTTGCCCCACTGTATTTTGGTAGTGCCTGTGGGCAGTTATTGTTTTATTATTCTAGTTCTTGGTTGCGACTATATAAATGTGGAAAGAGAGCCAGAACTTTAGTTTTATTGGTCACCAGGAGCTGAGACCTAAATAAGCAGTCAAAAACTCCTTTATGTGCTCTAATCAGCAGCTTGTCATGTGAAAATCCTGACCACTTTATTGGTTAGACATTCTATTTCTACTGCTTATTAATGCAAATACCTAACCAACCAATGAGTACTCAGTACATTTAAGCATGCAGACATGCAAAAGATGAACATTTAACTTCAAGGAAACAAGCACCAGAATGGGGAAGAAAAGTTATGTTGATGTCAGACGGGCTGATCTGAAGCTTTCAGAAGCTGCTGATCTACTGGAATTTTCCCACCCATGATCCCATAGAGTTTCCAGCGAATGGTCTTGAAAGGAGAAAATATCCAGTTAGTATGAAAATGATGTTGATGTCAGAGGACAGAGGAGAATCGAACAGGGACTCAGATAACCAGAAGACCACACCAGGTTTCACTCCTGTCAGCTGAGAACAGAAAACTGGAAACACATGTCCTGGTCTGATCAGTCGCTGATGATGATTTCTGCTGTGACATTCATCATGACATTATCTTGAATGTCACAGTGACACCATCACCTTGTTGGATTAGTGCCAGTGTAGCAAATTGTACCTAATAAATGGCAAGTAAATGTAAATGTAAATGTCAAAACAAACATTACTTTTTAAACCTTGCTCATAGGGGGTCATATGATTGTTGGGTTTTTCTCTGTATTTATGAAGCACCTCGAGGCAACTTTTGTTGTGATTTGGCGGTATATAAATAAAATTGAATTGAATTGAATTGAATAGTTTGGCTAAGATCTTCCTCTCCCCCACCTCTTTTATGGAGTCTAGAGGACAGGCTAGGATAGAAAGTGCTACCCTAGTGACTAATCTCTACCTATAAAGTTTGGAGACTAAATTGTTTTCCTAAGTCATGTGACCCTGACCTCTGACCTTTAAACTTGAAGTATTACATACTAAAACTTGTTATTTTTTTTATTATCCCTATCCATTTAACTAGATCAGAATTGGCTGAAATCTTTTGCTTATATAAGCTGTAAATACTTGAGATGTTAATATAAAATCTGCTGTGGGCCCTGTGTGGATGCACCCCCATCTCCGGCTGCTTGGGAAAAGTATGGGTTTGTCCTGCACACTTGACCCCACAGTTTACCCACAGCTACCCACTGTGGGTCCACACAGGCATGTTTGCTGGGTAGAAGCTGTAAGAAAAGACCTAGGAGCAGATTAGAATAAAGTTTTAAAAAATAATAATATAAAAGAGAATCTATTGGTTTAGGTCAATGAAAGTAAAAAGTGTTTAAAGACGGTTTTAAACCAAAACCCTGACTTTTAGTTCAACACTCACTACAGTTCTCACTACACCATTAATCTTGTCTCCCCTTCTGGTGAAAAAAAAGTGTCCAAACAAGGCCCTTTTCAGAACAACGCAGGCTTTTATTGCAATGGTTCACTTTTATTGTTAAGGGTTAAGAATGGATTAGCACTGTTGCCTCACAGCAAGAAGGTCCTGAGTTCGCTCTCACCACCTGACCCAGGCCTTTCAAGTTTGCATGTTCTCTCCAGGTACTCCAGCTTCCTCCCACCCATGACCATGACAAGGGTACGTGGAAAGAAAATGGATGGGTTAACCTAAAGTAATTGCTAGTAAGAGGCAGTAAAACTACTCATTAATGTCTTAACACAATATAATACAAAGCATCTGCAGTGGAGACAGATGTGCACTGTTTCAAATGCAGAGAGGTGGGTGGCAGCTCCTTTCAGACTGATTTTCAGTGTGAGAGAGGAGGACAAAAATGAATTCAAAGTTGTGGCCAAAACACTTTTGTTTTATAATATTTCAGTAAAAAAAAAAACAGTCTAAAGAAATCGTTGTAAACCTGCTGCATTTTAGTCATTTCCTGCAGTCATTTCTACTCAATTAAACCTCAAACATGTTAATAGTAAGAAACTTCTATACAAAGCCAATTCATAAACTGTGTCTCAGCAGATTTAATCAGATTAAATCTATGGAGACCTCCTTTAACCTCCTAAGACCCAAACTTTTCATCTTTATTTGGGCTGATTGGGACCTGATGATTGTAAAAACAAACAATTACCAGATTTTTTTCTACCTAATTTTGGTTTCTAAGAGAAATGGGAGCCACGTATGAGGATATTCGTTTAAAATTTCGATAGAACAGTAGCAGTATAATGTCCTTGTGAGTGGATATCAGGCCCTTGTAGAGCAAAATTGAGTATTTTGGCCTAAAAAAAAATGTGATGTCCACATATGTGGACGCCAGGTCCTAGGAGGTTAATTACTTATTCTGAGCACTGAATAACCACTTACAGATGTAATAAATCCCTCCGATGGCTAATGAAATGCAGACTAACCACAGCATCTGCTTAATCCTAAAATCTCTGGGTATTAAACTCCAGACTGACCCCTCTGACTGAGACCTCTCATAGTACGACTCTCCTCCCTCACAGATGTCATTTATCTTCTCCAGCAGCTTTTGGACCTGATCCCTGTTTTCCATGTTGTTGTTGAACACATGGTACACACCGCTGCAGCTCTTCAGCAACTGCTGGATGTTCTCGTCCTCTTTGGTGAACATTTCCATGTCAATGTCATTGTTTTCCAGTCGGTCTCCGTAGGTGAACAGCAGCATGGTGTGTTTGGAGACATCAGCGCCCAGCATCTTCTGCAGAGCTTTCAGTCCTTCTTGCTCCTGTGGGGTGAATCGTCCGAGCTGGAGGACGAGGATGAAGACGTGAGGACCTGGAGAAGTCAGCTGGAGAGCTTTTTCCAGCTCTGCTTTCACCTCACTTGCAGACAGCTGAGTGCTGAAGAGTCCAGGGGTGTCAACCACAGAGACTCTTTGACCCCAAAAATCAGCTTCTCTCTTCTCACTTCTCAAAGTCAGAGGGCTCAAACTGATCCTACAGTTAAACTCCTTATTTCCCAGGATGGTGTTTCCTGCTGAGCTCTTCCCAACTTTCTCCTGACCCACCAGCACCACCCTCAGGTCAGAGTCTGAAACAAAACAGGCCATCAGGGGGTTGGCACAAGTCTAAGCATTAGTGCACAGTTCAGAAAATCAACTCAATCAACCAAAAATATAAGACATTAGAAAAAAAATATATTTGTTTTTTTTATATGGAAGAAAAACATTGCACCATATGTTTTTTTTTATATATTTATTGAAAGAGATAAAATATACTGGATACATGAAATCAGATCTCACTCTTGTTTACACAAACACATTAAACGTCAGTACCAATCTTTCAGAAGATTGATTTCTTATGACTCTAAACCAGTGAGCTACTCAATGCTACAAGTTACAGAGTCCCATGAATGTCCCATAATCAAAAAATAAGTATTTATTAGTTTTGTTTGAAATGAAGATGTTCCTCTAACACCTGAAAGCAACAAGAAAAAAATAAAACAGCTAGGAACGATGCTGCATTCTGCTGAAAAAGCATAAAATTACTGAAAAATCTGTTTATTTATTTGTATCTCTGTTATGATGTGACTTCATAATCTGCACATGAGGTATAATTAATACCCAATTTTATTGTATGATGCATGCTTTCTCTTTCACAGCCATAGCTGAAGACACAGTGGCTCCCACTACTGCTCCCAGTGGAGCTCCTACTGCAGCTCCTACTGCAGCTCCTGCAGGCCCTGCCAGAGCTCCAAGACCAGCTCCAAGACCAGCTCCAAGACCAGCTCCAGCAGAAGCACCCTTTAAAACACCCCAAATGAATTTGTTACTACTCTCTGCCCTTCTTCTTGCTTCTTCAACCTCTATCAGAGGATTTTCTCTAAGAAGGCGCTTCATTTCTTCTCTTATGGCTTCTTGGGCATCTTTGAACATCCTGTTGGTGTAGTATTTTCCTCCATTTCTCTGAACCATTTCATTGATTTTCCTCAGCAGTTCTTGGACTTGAGATTGATCTTCATCTTTGTTGTTAAAAACATGATATCCTCCAGGGCATTTATCAATGAGTTCTTTAACTTGCTGATTTTCACTCATTAATTCTTCTATGCTGTTTTCTCCCAGAAAGTCTCCATGTGTGAACAAGAACATAGTGTAATTTTTTGCTTCCTCTCCAAACATCATCTGAATGATTTTTATAGTTTTTTGTTCTTCTGGTGTGAATCTGTTGACCTGCAGCACAACCAGGAACACATGAGGACCTGGAGCAGCAAAGGAGATGCACACAGCGATCTCTTCAAGCACCTCTCTGAGTGAATTTCTGGTGTCAAACAGACCTGGAGTATCAATCACAGCCACTGTTTGACTGTAGACAGCATTTTCTTTCTTCTCACAGGCTGTTGTAACAGAAGAGAAAGATGGGCGAGATTTAAAAGCATTTGTCCCCAAGATAGTGTTTCC